GCAATTACCAGACTACCCCAGTAGGTAAAGATGACGTCTCTGTGTCTAGACCCTGAAGGGAAATGCATGGGCAGGTTCAGGTGTGGCTCTGATTGGACAACCCAAAATAACAGTGGCTAAAAGAAGATGGAAGGAAATCTCCGCACATCCAAGTCCAGAGGTACGCCATCCAGGGCTAGTATGGTGTCAGGGTTTGAGCTCTTTCTGCCCTTTTGTTCTGCTGCTGTGTGGCTTCTATTCCTTGGGTCACTTCACAGTCCAAGGGGACACCTCAATTTCCAGTCATTAATTCCACACGCTGGGCAGCGGGAATGAGGAGGGATGAAGAAGAGATGCTCCTCCTTTGAAAGGCAGTTTATGGAAGTTACACACCTTCCTTCCCCTTCCATCCAGGGCACTGCCCAGAAAAAACTGAGGCCGCACCGCCTTGCTGTGAGGGAGAAGGAGCTTTATTCTAGGTTACCACGTGGAAACCATTTCAAAGGGAGCTGGGGGTTGTAGAAACTCCTGCCACAGGGTGGGTGCCCAACCCCAGCGGTGATGCCTGGGCGTGTTGAGAGGGGGCGAGGTGAGTTGTCCTGCAGCACAGAGAAACATCAGAGGTGATTTATTATGGGAATTGGCTCCAATGATTACAGAGGCTGAGACGTGCCATAATCCACCGTCCGTAAGCTGGAGAACCAGGAAAGCATGTGATATGATTTAGCCTGAGTCCAAAGGCTTGAGAGCCAGGAGCTCTGACGTCCAAGGGCAGGAGAAGATGGACGTTCCAGTTCAAGGAGAGAGAGAGAGAATTCGCCCTTCCTCTGCCCTTTTGTTCTATATGGGCCCTCAATGGATTGGATGATGCCTGCTTACACTGGGGAGGGCAGATCTTCTCAGTCTTCTGATCAAATGCTAATCTTTTCCAGGAACACCCTCATAGACACACCGAGAAATAATGTTTCACCGTTTGTCTGGGCATCCTTTAGCCTGGTCAAGTTGACACAAAAAATTAACCATCACACCAGTATAAGGGTAGTGCCCAATGTTAGTGGGGTACAGGGAATGTGTACATTGATAGAATCTTTTTGGAGATCAGTCTGGAATCGTATGAAGTGTCTTAAAAATGTTCAAACGTACCAAGGGGGAAAGGGTGGGGTGGGATGAATTGTGAGATTGGGATTGACACATATGCACTATTTTTTGAAACCAGTTTTTCTTGTTTTATTTATGTATTTATTATTTATTTATTTGGTTTTCTGGGTCTTAGTTGTGGCAGGTGGGCTCCTTAGTTGTGGCTCGTGGGCTCCTTAGTTGCGGCATGCATGTGGGATCTAGTTCCCCGACCAGGGATTGAACCCCGGGCCCCCTGCTTTGGGAGCTCAGAGTCTTAACCACTGCGCCACCAGGGAAATCCTGACATATATACACTAATGATACTATGTATAAAATAGATAACTAATGAGAACCTACTGTATGGTGCAGGAAACTCTACTCAATGTTCTGTGCTGACCTAAATGGGAAGGAAATCCAAAAAAGAGGGGATATAAGTATAGTTGGTTCACTTTGCTGTACAGTAGAAACTAACACAATATTGTAAAGCAACTATACTCCAATAAAATTTTTTTTAAAAAGTTCAAGCCCTTTGACCCTGTAATAATTCCAATGTAAGGAACCTAGCCCAGGGACACAATTCTACAAAGATGTTTGCTGTACTGATTATTTAAAATAGGGCAAAACAGGAGACAACCTAAGTGGCCAGTGCTGGGGAACCACGGTCTTTCTCCCCATTTCTATCTCAGTGGCTGAAACACTGAGATAGAACACTGAGTGTCCTTCCTGGGGAAGTCCTGGGGAAGAGGTTTCTGCCATTCTCTCTACCCCTTACTCCTTACCCTCATGGAACAGGTGCAATTTAGCCCATGGGTGGAAACGGGCAAAGGTGACTGCTCTCGAGCTGTCTGCCCTCTGCCCGGACCTCCCAGTTTGCAGCCCAGCACACTCCCTCGTGCACGCAGCTGGTGAGCCTCCAGATCGGCAGGCCCAGACCCCCTCATATCAGTTTTCGGGAAGAAAGCCTGCTTTGAACTTCAGGTTTATCACGTGAATATATACTGTATTTTAATTCCTGTTGGGTGCTTCTCCTTCACAGAAGGGTGGTGAGGGATGATTGTGCCTCCCGCATGCCACCCTAGGAGCATCACTTGAGAACAGTGAGAACAGGCGGTGCTGGAAGCCGAAATGTCAGAGGGTAGGAGGGGCCCCTTGAAGCCAAGCAGCAGCTGATGCGGGCTGACTCACAGCTGCCTCTGACGTGCGAGGCTGCGTGAACAGCCTTACTAACTCGAGTGGCGATGTGTGAGTCACCATGAGGCTGGCGTCATCCAGCCCTGGCCACGTGACCCTCTGTGACTGTGACCTACACAAGCAGAGCCTGGGTACTCCGGATTTGCAGAAGTAGCTGGAGACAGGTACTGAATTATTGGAAAGGGTTTTTCCTCTGTTTCATGGGAAACAGAGATAATAAATGTTGGCCCACAAATGCCCTTGTTCAGGAATTACAACTGCATTTTCTATAATGCCATCATCTCTGACTCCATGGCTCCTTTGGTCCCTGAGGTCTCCATCACATCTCTGGCACACTGAGACTTTTGTGGTTATGAGGCATGGCGGGGGAGAGAACATTTAGTCCTGGTCAGGAGTCCATACAGGTGACCCGAGACACCGGCTGTCCCTTTCTCCATGGTCCCATTTGGTGGCTATCTCCAAGTTCTGTTCTTTGAAAAATGAAATTTTGTTGCCTTTTGACTTAGACTATCCTGATTAGAAGAGGTGGGATAAGTAAATTTCTGTCCATTCCCAGGTAGTATTGATTAATGGGGCCACAATTAACCCAACTAGGTTTTACACTGAGTGATTGAGCACATTGACAACTGCCCAGCCTGACCTGTAAGCTGGGAAGACAAATCAAGAACCACTCCTTTTCCGCCGCCCTTTCCCCATGTTCCACGCAGCTGCACTGCAGTTACTGACTAGTAGGGGCCTGTACTGTTCAATGCATCAGGTTCTGGGATAACTGCTGTAGCAGTTGATTTGGTTGGGTTTTCTAAGGCACGGGGCTGATAATATGATAGTGTGTCCTACCGACTCTTTGAAAAAGTGCGATATACAAGACATTTTTGATTGAATCCATTTGCTTAAGGAGTGACGCCTGTTCTGATGGACGCCTAGGGAGCAGCTTCTTGAGAAAATCCAGGCACTTGATTGAGAACCTTCTGGCTAAAAGAAGGCAGGTCAAGAAATGAGGAAATTATACTCCAATAAAGATGTTAAAAAAAAAAAAAAAGAAAAAGAAATGAGGGAGCAGACTCCCCTGGTGGCGCAGTGGTTAAGAATCTGCCTGCCAATGCAGGGGGGCATGGGTTCGAGCCCTGGTCCTGGAAGATCCCACATGCCGCGGAGCAACTAAGCCCGTGCGCCACAGCTACTGAGCCTGCGCTCTAGAGCCCACGAGCCACAACTACTGAAGCCCGTGCTCCTAGAGCCCGTGCTCCACAACAAGAGAAGCCACCGCAATGAGAATCCCGTGCACCGCAAGGAAGAGTAGCCCCCGCTCACCGCAACTGGAGAAAGGCCACGTGCAGCAACGAAGACCCAACGCAGCCAGAAATAAAATATAAATAAATAAATTAAAAAAAGAAGTGAGCAGAAAAGAAAAAAAACAACTAGAAAACAAGAAATGAGGGAGGGCAGAATTTTGGATTTGAATTCTGTTGGCTTTTCATAGATAGTTTCATATTTGGACTTTTAATTCTCACTGAGAATCTAATTACTGGAGAATCTAATTACTTGCAATCTAATTGCAAGTTTTCTATCACTTTTTTTTTTTTTTTTTTTTTTTTTTTTTGCGGTATGCGGGCCTCTCACTGTTGTGGCCTCTCTTGTTGCGGAGCACAGACTCCAGACGCGCAGGCTCAGCAGCCATGGCTCACGGGCCTAGCTGCTCCGCGGCATGTGGGATCTTCCCGGACCGGGGCACGAACCCGTGTCCCCTGCATCGGCAGGCGGACTCTCAACCACTGTGCCACCAGGGAAGCCCTATCACTGACATTTTTTATTCGGAGTACTTTATGCTATTAGTTGGGCTCACTGCAAAACACAGTGTCTTTCAAGTGTTTTTCTTAAATGATGAGATGCAGCAGGGAAGTGCATCAGACATCATGGCCCTATAACCGAAGCAACATTTTTACAAAATACAAACCTGTCAGCCGGGGCTCCCCTGAAAGCAGAGCCTGTGACAAAGTCTTGTGTAGGCAGTTTATTTGAAAAGTGACACTAGGGAGGAGTGGGAAGCAAGGAAGCAAAACAAAGACAAGGAGCCAATAATGAGCTCACCACTGCCATGGTAACCACAGCTCAAGCTCCTAAGACCTGCCTGGAGCTCAGGAAAGGCAGCTCAGAACCAGTTCTTTGGGAGCTTAACGCCTGCCCATGGTGTCCTATGGTGTCAACTCCCCCTGCTTCCAGGGTGCACTGGCAGGTGGCACCTGTGTGGATCTGGTCAAAGCAGCATCAGTGGCTGGAATAAGACGTGGGACAGAGAGGATCTGAAGTGACCACAAAAGGTGTTCAATCAAGATATTTACCAAGTGCAATGTGCTCCGCTATAATGTATTCTACTCTAGTACACACACATACACTCTAGTTGAGGCCCACTAACCAGTGGTTCTCAAAGTGTAGTCTTTTCAGGGGGTCTCTGAGGTCAAAACCATCTTCATAATAATAATAAGATGCTATTTGTCTTCTTCACACTCACTCTCTTGTGAGTATGCAGTGGAGTTTTCCAGAGGCTTTGTGGCATGTGGTACCAGAACAGAATGCAGATGCAGATATGAGAACCCAGCTGTCTTCCTTTAAGCCAGATGTTAAACAGATCTGCAAAAATGTTAAACAATTCTACTTGTCTCACTAAATTTGTTCTGGAAAATACAGTTATTTTTCATAAAATGTTACTTAAATACAACAAAATGTAACAGGTTTATTATTTATAAACAAATATTTTTAAAATTTCTACTTTAATTTCTCTATATAATCCACATACACAGAAACTCTTTGGGTCTCTTACTCTTTATGAGTATAAAGCGGCAGGTGCACTAAATTGATCATGACCTTCAACGGAATTGCAGCCTCCAGTTTGGTGGGAAGAGGACAGCTCTGTTAACTGCCACTTTCTCTTCCAAAGTGAATGGCCATTGCCCTGGTTGACCACAGGGTCAGTTTAAGTCCAATCAACGAAGGCAGAAGTTCTGACCCTGGCTGCCTGTTGTAAGTGTCTGGGTGACATTAAAAATTACCCTGGCCTGGGCCCTGCTCCAGAACAATGAATCAAAATTTCTGGGGATGGGGCATAGTACTGTTCTTTACCTCATTATTGATGTATAACTTACATTAGGAGCACAAATCTTAATGATAATAACTATTTTTCTAAACATACGTGATTCCCAGGTAACTACCACCCAAATCAAGATGTAGGGCATTTTCAAATCACCAGCAGATTCTCTCATGCTGCCTCCTAGTTAATACCACTATTCTAATATATATCACCATAGGTTTAAAAATTATTTTCCTGATTTTGAACTTCATATAAATGGCATCATACAGTATACATATATATACATATATATATGTGTGTGTGTGTACATATATATATATATGTATATATTCCTTTATATCTGGCTTTTTATGCCCGACATTGTGAAATTCACTCACGTTGCTAGGTAGAGCAGTAATTTCATTCTTGTCTGCATGGCAGTGTCGTTTTCCATTGTATAAACAGGACACAATTTATTTATCATTCTACCCTTGACAGAGTTGGCTGGTCCCCTCAAACTGCTCTTCAGTGTGGTGACGTGCCCTTACCCTAAATTAATACAGGAACTGGGACTCATTAGGGAACAGAAACAGCAGATTCACGTTATCCATCTCATGCTTACTGGGCAGGGATATGTTATTGAAATGGAAGTCCTCGTTTTCCCAACTCTTTAAAATTATTAGTTTTTCTTTTCTCTTTCCTTTTTTATTTTTAAATACAGAAAATATAGTTAAATTTGCATAAATTAAAATGTGTGCCTCCAATCCTGGGTAGAGATTTAAGTTATCAAAAGATAGGCGGCACTGAGTGCTAGATGAATTTAGATTTGGTCCCCCTGGCCAACTATGAGTATATGCCTGCTAAGTTATGGGTGGCTTGTTTCTTTTAAACATTTCTATCTAGGCTTCTTAATCTTACACGAGACATACCCAGATATTAATACGGCAGCGTTGCTCAAACTAATCCATAGTTAGTTACCAAATCCTCCAACCCCCTCAACTGCACTTCCCCAAATCTGTCTGATTCAGTAGAAGGTGCAATCATCTACTCAGTTCAGTAATTTAAATAAACCCAGGAATGACTCTTGATCACAACTCCTCTCAGTAGCCTGCCTACCCTGTACAATCAGATCCATCTACCCAGTCAGCTGTCTCCAACAAATGCTGCAAAGCTACGCGCTCCTCCGCAGCTCCACAGCTACCACTCTGCTCTACGCGGCAAGCATTTTCTGCCTGGACTAATGCAATTGTCTCCTGACCCGTCTCCCTACTTCCACACTCTTCCCTGTCCCCAATTCCCCCACCTGAACCTACCCTCCACCCACCGCCCAGTGGCTTTTATTTTATTTTTTTTGGCCGCAACCAGCGGCTTGTGGGATCTTAATTCCCCAACCAGGGAGTGAACCTGCAGTGAAAGCGCAGAGTCCTAACCACTGGACTGCCAGGGAACTCCCCTCAGTGGCTTTTAAAAAACACAGATCAGGCCATGACACACTTTTCCTCAAAGCCTCCTAATGGCTCAGTATGTGAAGGGCCTCAAACCCATCACACTGACAGATGAACTCAGACTTCTTACACTGGTCCTCACAGCCCTCACACCCTCCAGCAGCAAGCGCTAGGCCCCCTGCTGGCCTCCTGGCCTTAGGACACACCACGCTCCTTCCCTCCTTCCCACCCAAGGTCTCTGTCCTGCCTGCTCGGTACTGGAAGCTCCCTGCTGACCCTCTAATCTTTATGTGACGACGGCTCCTGTTTTTGCTAATCAAACCTCAACCCCAACTGCCTCCTCGCAGCAGCTTTCGTCGACTGCCCCATCTAAAGCAGTCGTCCCTGAGACACAAATCTGATGGCAGAGACACACATTAAATGTGCCCTTCTCCTAAACCTAGGAGTTTGAATTCTGGGCTTCTAAGAACAAACAGTGGGAAGGACACAATTGCCCTTTGAAAATTACAACATGAATGCCTCTCTGGAGGGACACCTGCCATATGGTAATGTAGTATTTTATTTACTCTATTAGTAACTACTATTTGATAACATTTATAATATTAATAGAACTTAATCTAAGAGAAGTTCAACTTACATTTCTCTTTCTTTTTTTTAACATTTCAATACTGGATATTAATCAGAAAGACAGTCAAAATTACTACGGTCGAAATTCTTCCATCAAAAATTTGTAATAAATGTTTGGTATTAGTCTATGTACAATTCAGTTTTTGGTGTAAAGTTCTTTGGCTTTAAGAAAAAACATTTGGTTTACTTCACTAATAGGAATATCTCTTAATGCTGGGATGGCCTCTTCTTGGTATTTCTTTGGCTGTTGGTTTTTGGCATAGTTATCTGTAAGAAGAGGACAAAAGGCTCTGTTTACCCAAGCAATTTCTTCAACAATCTCTGTGGTTTGTGGAGACCCACCACATAGTTTACTAGGCTAATGTTTGGATAATGACAAATACCATGTTTAACATAATTAAAAGGCCCCTTAAATTCTCTCTTTAGAAGAAATGTCCCAATTACAATAAAAATCAGCCAAGTTACTTTTTGCATCCTCTAACTTGGGTAAGAAATTAATATTTCAGGGACTTCCCTAGTGGCGCTGTGGTAAGAATCTGCCTTTCAAAGCAGGGAACACGGGTTCGATCCCTGGTCCAGGAAGATCCCACATGCCGCGGAGCAACTAAGCCCACGCGCCACAACTACTGAGCCCATGAGCCCATATGCTCTAGGGCCTGCGTGCCGCAACTACTGAGCCTGTGTGCTGCAACTACTGAAGCCCGCAAGCCTAGAGCCCGTGTTCCGCAACAAGAGAAGCCACTGCAATGAGAAGCCCCTGCACTGCAACAAAGAGTAGCCCCCGCTCGCCACAACTAGAGAAAGCCCACGTGCAGCAACAAAGACCCAATGCAGCCAAAAATAAATAAAAAAAAAAAATTTCATTCAACTGTACAATGATGATTCAAGCCCCATTTGTACATTTCTCATAGGAACAGAATTATATCAACACCCCAATCATTTGGTACAATCATTCATGCAAACTTAACAATTTCCCCTCTTTGTACAAATTGTCTATTTGCTGTAATTCCAGCCAAGTATGCAGGGAACACAGTAGGTTATCAGAAAAGCAATATCTAAAAGTTAAAAAATCATACCAGAACTTAAAAAATACTTTGCTTCCTAGAATCCAAGCAAGTTCAGGAATCTAATTTTTTTTTTTTTTTTTTAATTTTGGTTATGCCACACGGCTTGTGGAATCTCAGATCCCCAACCAGGAGACTGAACCCAGGCCATAGCAGTGAAAGCCGGGAATCCTAACCATCAGGCCATCAGGGAACTCCCAGGAATCTACTTTAATCTTTAGACTTGAAATAAAAGAACTTAACAACAACTACAGAAAACATGCCGTGGCTCTTCTATCCACTTAATTGCGGTCAGGTGTACACAGTGATCCTGAGGATACACACCCCCAAATTCCTCCTCCCAGACAAGGTCTGTATGGACCTCTTTGTCATCCCTTGATCAACACAGCTTGTTTAGGATAAAAGAAGTTTCTCTCAGGCAAAGTTGCCAAGGAACATATTACATACTTGTGGTTTTTATGGGAAAATATACCTGTTAACTAGTGTAATAAACAGCATATTCATGACAGCTTATTTGTGCCATGTGAACATTTCCTCTGGTATAATCGTATTTATTTCTCCCAGTTTTTTTTACTATGCTGATGTGCGTCAATTACTACAGCCTGTTCTTTGTTGCTTTTTCTTTTTTAAAAATATTTATTTATTTATTTATTTCGCTGTTCTGGGTCTTAGTTGCAGCATGTGGGATCTTTTCAGTTATGGCATGTGGGCTCCTTTAGTGGCAGCATGCAGGTTCTTAATTGTGGCATGCGGGATCTAGTTCCCTGACCAGGGATTGAACCTGGGCCCCCTGCACTGGGAGTGCGGAGCCTTTTTTTTTTTTTTTTAATGATCTAGGTTTATTTTTTTTTATTATTATTTTTTGGGCTGTGTTGGGTCTTCATTGCTGCATGCGGGCTTTCTCTAATTGTGGTGAGCAGGGGCTACTCTTTGTTGCGGTGCACAGGCTTCTCATTGCAGTGGCTTCTCTTGTTGTGGAGCACGGGCTCTAGGTGCATGGGCTTCAGTAGTCACAGCATGTGGGCTCAGTAGTTGCGGCACATGGGCCCCAGAGCACGTGGGCTTCAGTAGTTGCTGCACGTGGGGTCAGCAGTCGTGGCCCTTGGGCTCTAGAGTGCAGGCTCAGTAGCTGTGGTGCACAGGCTTAGTTGCTCCACAGCATGTGGGATCTTCCCGGACCAGGGATCGAACCCGTGTCCCCTGCATTGGCAGAAGGATTCTTAACCACTGCGCCACTGGGGAAGTCCCGGGAGCGCAGAGTCTTAACTACGGGACCACCAGGGAAGTCCCTGCTTTTCTTGACAAAAGTGTCAATACCCGACTCCTCCAACCCCCGGCACTTTCCTTTGATATAAATTTACCTGTGATTGTATGAATGGAGTTGAGTGGAGAGGTACTCATCATGTTTATCCCGAATAAGAGCACATAACCAATCACTGCAGTAATGAGGAGGTACACAGGCAGTGCAACTGCCCAGTATCTGCAGAAAAGAATATTAAAGTAGGTAACAGACTTCCTAAAAAGTTGCAGTTCTCTACAGTTCATCACCAAGTTAATACACTTTTAAACTTAATTTTAGCTTTGACTGAAATAATACATGTACCTAAAAGGCAGTCCAATAGTTCTACTGGCCTACAGTGAAGCTGCTATCCTGTACGCCTGTTTGAGCCCTGGTGTCTTTCTTCCCAGCAGGGAACACTTTCAGCACCTAAGCTGTTTCTTCTGGTGTTTACCTCCACCTTCCTACACAACATACTCCTATTACTATTTCTTGACTTTTTAAACTTCAGACATTTTCTCTGAACATCCTACTATGGAGATAAAGATGTATATATAAATAATGTTTGAAACTGAGCACTGTAACGTATTATTATTATGTCTTCTTGTACAATTTTTTGTTTTTCCTGGAAATTAATTACTACTTTTTGTCTGTTTGCTTGGTTTCCCATGTACCTATCAATGCTCAGTCCTCAAATTCTCGGATAGAATCTAGTATGCCTCTTAATACAGTTAAACACATCAAATGCTCTACCTCACATGTTTTATTGGGTGCATTATTTAATAATTTCTTCCCTGTTTTCTCTTTCTGGAACTTCTAAGAGCGTTTTTGCTGTTATACTTTCCTCATCTTTTCTTTATTTTCTATTTTGCTATACTCTGTCCTACTTTCTGGAGATTACTTTTGGTGTTTCTTCTAAACCTTCCATTAAAATGTTAATTTTGGCTACCATATTTATAATTTCCAAATGCAGTAATTCTCTGAACACTCCCTATTTTATAGCATCCTGTTGTTTCATAGTTATAATCTTTTTTTATCTCTGAGGATTTTATTTTAAAGTTTTCTTCTGCTCTTTGCATTATCTCCATTTTCTTCAAGTTTCTTTTCTCTTTTCTTTTTTTGCTTTTTTCTCTTGTATTTCATTTTAGAGGCTTTCTTTTAATGTCTGATAAGTTGCCCATTCATATTTAAAGATGAAGTACTGGGAAGGCAGGGAGGCGGCTGGGGAGACATATAAAAATAAAAATAAAGATGAACTACTAACAAGCTAATTGGAAGCACTGTGCATATGTGGGCTGGGATGGCCAACTGGAGACCCACACTATGGGAGACCTGGCCATTCCATTGGAGGATCTCTAATTATCAGAAATTAAAGACCCTTTCTCTTGAGCTGGTCAACTTCTTCAGGGAGCACCCTCCTATCTTGCTGGGAGGAGGCGGGTGGTATAAGCCTGCCAACCACAAGCCTGAGAGCCTAGTGAGGAAAGGTGCTTGGGAGGAATCTCACTATTCAGCAATGCAGATTTTCACTGATCCCTGTTTTCAGTAACGTGCCTAGTTAGACCTAGTGTCCCCCAGACTAGAGACTCTCACTCAGCCTTTCCAGAGCATAAAACTCCTGTCTTCTGCAGGGGAGGGTTGGTCTCCAGCTTTAAGGGCTGAGGAGGGGGATTTGAGGGTTGAATGCTCTTTAAACACTGTTTTCAGCCCAACCCAGAAATACCATGTTAAAGAGGTACCCGTACCTCCAATGTCTGGGCCTCTCTGTGTTGTGGGCACAGAGGCTCTGGCTGGCTTCCCTGCTTTAGCAATGTGGGAAAGTGGAAATTCAGTTAGTCACCTCTCACCTATCTGCAATCCACTTCCCAAGATTTTATTGATACACCTCCACTATCCCGTTATTTGCTCCTGTGGGTTTATAGCTTAACAATTATTTTTTTCTATGGGCTTATTTTAACAAGATTTTGGGAGGAAGTAGGGATAAAGATGTGCATTTAGTCCACCATCTTTAAATAGAAGCGTATCAATAATCGTCTTTAAAAAGCTTTAAATTTCTATATGGCTATTTATGGATCTTAAAAGAATAAATATAAGATTTGTATAAGTCTTAAGAAAAAACCTGATCCTTCAAAACAGCATTGATATACTCTTACTTTATTTAAGAAATACATTGAACTTACTTTTGAGGCCAATAGGTTAAGCCTAAGGAGTTTAGCCAAGACTCAGGAATAAAAGCCCACACAAGATACAGTACTGCAGAAGAGGGAAAAAAAAAAAAGGAAAAAAGGTCAGTAAGGCACGCATCCAATCTATCAAGGTTCAGATAAAACAACTAGAGAGAAGCTGGCGCGCTGCAACGAAAGAGCCCACGTGCCACAACTAAGACCCGATGCAGCCAAAAATAAATTAAAAAAAAAAAACCAAACCATAAAATTTACGATCTTAACCATTTTAAGTGTAATGTTCAGTAGTGTCAGGTATATTTGTATTGCTGTGAAACAGGTTTCTAGAACTATTTCATCCTGTGAATCTGAAACTCTATAACCATTAAACAACTCCTCTTAGTTATTTTAAATAACATGTCTTAACTTCCACTACTCACCCTGTATTTTAAGCAATTTAAGGGCAGAAATCATGCCTTAGTAATTGTTGTAATCCTTATAGCACCTAGCAATTTGCTTTATACGTAGTCGGTGTTCAACACTTCATCCCCACAGGGTTGAAAGTACAGACATTTAGGGGCATAAAGGTGAATTTATCTACCCTTGTTCTGATCCACAACATGCCTTATCTCCTAGAGCACAATCTTATTTCCCTCAATTCGGGTCTCTGTGGCACCCTTTACCGTTGTCCCTCTATTATAACAGCCAACCTCTGAGCACTCACTGTGGCTAAGCACACTTCTGAGCACTTTACATGCATCATTTCATTTAATCCTCAAAACAATCCTAGTAGGTATTAAGCCATTTTTACAGAGGAGGAACTGGAGTCTCAGACATGTTACATCCTCTGTCCAAGGTAAGTGGCAGAGAGAAATTTCAAGCCTGTCTCAGTGATGATGAAGGATTAACATTTTTCTCAACAAATATGTATTACAGAATTCTCTATGTCAGGAGTGTGCGATACAATGGTGAACCCGAAAGAGATGGCCTCTGCCCTCTCCGAGCTTAAAATTGAGCAAGGAATAGAGAAGAATAAATTGGTGTTTTCAATACACTCTGATAAGTGCTAACGAGCGAGTAACAAAAGAGGATATCGGAACACATAAGAAGGCCCTCAGCCCACAGTGGCGGTGATGTGAATGGTTAGGAAAGATTTCCTGGAGAAGTCATTAAATTGGGGCCTAAAGGATGAATAGGGGGTTAGCCAGATGAAAATGCTGGGCTTGTAGACGATAGGAAGGAAGGAAATATGAGAAAACAGTGTTCCCAGCAACCACCACAGAGAGAGCGCTGGGGATCTGAAGAGAGAGCTGGTATGGTAGATGGCAGAGGGAAAAGCTGGCAAGGAACTGGTGTGGAGCTTGAGTTTTCAAGATTAATGAAATACAAACAGCATTTCCCTGGTGGTGCAGTGGTTAAGAATCCGCCTGCCAATGCAGGGGACATGGGTTCGAGCCCTGGGCCAGGAAGATCTCACATGCTGCAGAGCAACTAAGCCCCTGCGCCACAAGCCTGCGCTCTAGAGCCCGGGAGCCACAACTACTGAGCCTGCGTGTCACAACTACTGGAGCCCACGTGCCTAGAGCCCATGCTCTGCAATGAGAGAAGCCACCGCAGTGAGAAGCCCGCACACCGAAGAGTAGCCCCCGCTCGCCGCAACTAGAGAAAGCCCACGTGCAGCAACAAAGACCCAATGCAGCCAAAAATAAATAAATAAATTTATTAAAAAAAAAAGAAATACAAACAGTGGGGAAACAAATGCAAATTCATAAATGGAAATGATTTGCTTAGTTTAATTAAGTGAATGAATATTTACTGTACATCTGCCATATGCCAGGCACTATGAGAAGGTCGAGGCTATAAAGATAAATGAGACATGGTCTCTATTCTCACAAAGTCATGTGGGAGAGAGAAACGAGTCAAATGTAGTGGCAGGAACTTCCCAGGCACTACCTTACTGGACCCTCCCCAGACCCCTGAGGTGTGTGCTAGTAATCCTTACTCACAGGTGAAAAAAACTGAGGCTCAGGGAATGTAAATAACTTGCCCAAGGTCTCACAGCTAAACGTTACTGAGCGGGAATGAGAACCTGGGCTTACAGGCAGTGGCCAGAGCACTGGAAACGACATGAAGCGGAGGCAACATATTTGGGGGAACCCCAGGCAGCGTGGAGTGGTTCGGGCATCAAGTACGAGGCAGGGAGAAACCAGCCGGAAAATTGAACAGGTCCCAGATCATGGAAGACCTTGGGCGAGGAACATGGACTTTACGCTCTGGGCAAGGGGAACAACTGGATATTTTGTTGGTAACTTTACAGTTACAGCAGACTACCAAGAGAAATAACCATCCAGCCTCCAACGAGAGGTTTTAATCAGGGAAGTCCACATCTGGATCTCAAGTGCGTCACTGTGACAGCTGCATGTAGGATGAATCTGTGGAAGAAGTGAGACCCCGGCAGGCTCAGTGGCAGCAGCAGATGAATGAGTTGGCGGAGAAGGAAAAGTACAAGTGAAGAGGACTCCCAGGCTTTCAGAGTGGGATCTAGTCATTCCAACCCTGAAGAAAGAGATACTGGAGCAGTCATTCTCCACACAGCGTCGAGAGATTTTCCAAAAAGACAAATCTGACCCTATCACTTGCCAGTTCAAATCCTTCGATGCCCTTAGAATAAAATCGAAAATCCTTCCTAGGGCTTGCAAGAACTTGAACGACCTGGCTCGGCCCGCCTCTCCAACGTCCAGCCCTCACGCACTACGCTCCAGCTCTGGACAGTGTCTCATTTCTGTGTTTCAAACAACGTTGCGGACGCAGGGTCACTGCAGTTACAGTGAGTGCTGTCTGCCTTTGGCTCTTCCAATGCAGATGGTTCCTTAGCCTGCTTTATGTCTTAGCTCGAATGTCGCCTTAAGAGAGGCTTTCCCCAATCACTTGCTCTCCCAGCTGTGTCCCACCTACCACACCTTCATTACTCCCTGTCATTTCCCTTTATTTCCCTCAAAGCTATTACCACAATCTATAACTACTGTGATGGACGGAATATTTGTGTCCCCCCCCCCCCAACAAGTTAATATGTTGAAACCCTAATCCGCAACGTGATGGATTTGGAGGTGGGGCCTTTGGAAGGCAGTTAGGTATAGATGAGGTCATGAAGGAGGGGTCTCCATCATGGGATTAGTGTCCTTTCTTTCTCTACTACATGAAGATACGAGGATACGGTAAGGAGGTGGTTGTCTGCAAACCGTAGGAGGGCCCTCACCAAGAACCCAGCTATGCTGGCATCCTGATCTTGCACTTCCCCGTCTCCAGAGCTGTGAGAAATAAATCTCGATTGGTTAAGCTACCCAGTCTACAGTACTTTGTTATAGCAGCCTGAACAGATTAAGACAATTAGCTTTTTAAATCAGTAAATATTTCAATGTACAGAGAGACTCATGTAACCCCTGAGCACCCACCACCTAGTTTCATTATGACTGTTGGCTACTGGCCTCTGACCTCCTCTATCCTATCACTTTCTGCCTCACTGTCTCAGGTTTCAACCTTACTGACCTCCATCTGTTCCTTGAAACCACTGGCCTCCTCGGGCTTTTGCACTGGCTCTTCTCTGGGAGGCTCTTTCCCTGGATTGCCACATGGCTAACTCTCACTTTTCGTCTCTGTGCTTACAACTCATCCCTCAGTGAGGCACCACCTGACCGCTGTATTTAACGATGGCAATCTCCTCCCACTTCTTATCCTCCTTTCTGGCTTAATTTCTCCCCATGGCACACATTATCATCTGACATTCTGCATGTTTAATTATTTAATTTGTCCATTGGCAATCCCCCCCTAGCAGAATGAAAGCTGTGAAAGCAGGAAGTTGGGGGCTGTTTTGCTCTTCCCTTGCCTGTAATAGTGGCTGGCACATGGTAAGTACGCAAGAAAAATTTGCAGAATTAATTTCTGGTTGTGGGTACTATTGGATTTAAGTCTTAAAGTCATTGCTTTTATTTAAATACATAGTTTCTAACCCTTCAAATAACTCTATAGAACAGGGATTTACAAAAATGATGATGTTGATGATAACGATAACAGCAGCAGCTAACACTGAATAAATACAGGTATCCCCACTTTCCAAAAGCTCGCTTTAAGCCATTTCGCTTTTATGAAAGACCTACGTTAGTTAACTGTCTTTGGTAACCAAAGGAAATCTGAAGAGGCTTTTTGCTTTTACTTAAAAAGCATTCCGTGTTTGTTTTGCAGGGAGCCGTGATGCAGGCAGTGCCCACCCAGAGCAGGGAGAGTGTGGCATTTCTGGGCTCCTTCCCCAGGGCTACACTCAGCATCTCGGCATCAAACCGCCATAGCTCTGAACTGTGTCGGTGAACATCTTGATCTCAACCGAGTATCTTTATCAAATTGAGTGCATTATCTCAATTTATCTTGTGCATTGCTTAGCAAGATGTGCCCTAAGGTAACTGTTTCTTTGCTTTACGCCATTTCTGCTTACGAAAGGTTTCATAGGAATGGTCTCTACTTTTGGATTGTGGGAGAAACCTGTACTTATTGCTCCTATGCATTCTTTTAAGTGCTCTGCATACATTACGGCAAGTAATCTTCACAACAGACATAAGAGGTAGCATAGTGAAGTCAACCCAGCGTGCCTGGGTTCAAATTCTAGCTTTATCATTTACTGGCTGTGTGACCTTGAGCACATTACTTAAGCCCCGTGTGCCTCTGTATTCTCATCTGCAAAATGAGGACAGTAATGACAATATCTATCTCATAGGACTGTCTTATGCTTCATAAGCATTTGATAAACATCACCACCCTTTCACAGATGAAGAATCTGAAGAACCAGAGAAGTTAACTAAACAGTCCTCCACAAAGCTAATCTGTGGAGGAGTCAGGATTTGAACTCAAGTCATAACTTCTTCACTCCATAGACTCCCCTGGCCAACAGCTTGGTTGGCTATACTGATGTAGTTAGGGTTCAGAAGCATTACCACTCCATCTTTCTGGTTTCCACAAAATTCTAAAAAGCTGTGGGCACCCACTTTTCTCCCTAATTCTCAAATCCTTTTGGGGAGAGACATGGGGCCCACTGTGTGACTCTGGGAATATCGTGTCTCAGTAAACATCAGTTTCCTTATCTGTAAAATGGGACCTTATGGGGACTGATTGAGACCCAGGATGTAAAGTGCAGCTGACTTCTATAACCTGATTGCTGTCCCTACCACAGGCTGCACTGGGTACACACCGGATTACTCATTTCCAAACCCCACAATGCCTTCCCACTTCTTCCTTCTTATTGGTGAAGACAAAGTTCCTGGGAGAAAGCTCACTCTGACTTTCAGGGTTTTTTGTTTTTTTTCGGCCACGCTGCTGCGTGGCTCACAGGATCTCAGTTCCCTGACCAGGAATGGAGCTCTGGCAGTGAGAGCACAGAGTCCGAACCACTGGACCCCCAGGGAATTCCCTGACTTTCCAATTTTTCTTGTCTCAACACTGGCTGCCCATGGCCCTTATCACACTGATAGAGAATTGTAGATTTACTCCTCTGTCTTGTCCACAAAACCATGACCTCCTTAAAGGCAGGGACCAAGTTGCATTCACTTTGCAATCTTGACTGGTGCTGCATTTTAAAGATCTGTTGAGATTAAATCTTTCAGGCTCATGTCTGGCATGTAGAACACTCTTAACAGACAAGAGTTCCCTCCAGGTTTTCTCGAAAAGAGACAAAGGTAGAAAGAATCACAGTTCCTGTGTACACATTCTACAAACAAATGCAATAATTTCCTGTCCTTGAACACCAGAGAAAGGCCCTGGCCATCCATCAGGAAAGTACTTACTGAAGCCAAATTGGGAGCTTAAGAAAAGGACAAAGCCATAAATCGCTCTTTCTGGTAATGGCGACGGTGAATTTTCCACCATTTTCCCTGTGTCTTTAGATAATCTGTGGGAAAGAAACACAATCATCTGTCAGTGACTCACACCACTGGCCTATTATAACCTCATCGCTTTGCTATGGGCACAGCCTCTCCGCAGTTTTTTTCCCAGCCTAAACCACTGCCAACGGGCAACCTGCACACAGACCTCTAACGCACACCTGCTTGCACACGTGCACACAAGCACCCATACCTCGCCTGTAGGCGCAACCAGCCCCCAAACCTCACATGCACACGCACACAAGCACACGCGCCACAGCGCGCACCTCCCGCAGTGTAAGGTGGGGGGAGGCAAGGAGGGAGCAGGGGAGGGACTGACGCCACTCCAGCTCTGCAGGGTTCGCCTCCGTGCGAAAAGGTAAGGGCAAGCAGGGACAGAAGGCCCGTGCGGCCTCCTCAGGCCTGGGCCTCGGCGCCCGGGACCCGGACCTGCCCTCTCGTGGAGTCTGTTTCTCATTCGAGCCCGGGGACTGGGGTTGGCCCTCGACCTTGGGTCTTCCATGCGCCCACTCCGGCCGCTTCCCACAGTTCGGCCACCTCCGTGCCGAGTCCTCTGCGCAGGCGCGGATCAGGGAACCGCAGGGGGGCGAGAGAAGGAAAACAGAGAAAGGCCGAGTCGCCAAGGCAACCCCTGCCCGGGCGCAGGCGCACTGCGACCCTCGTCCGACAGGAACGCGCGAGCGCGGGGGCGGGAGGGATCGGTCAGCTCTCCGCCTCTGGGGGCGGGGCTGCACGACGGCGCAAGTGCATTGCGGCTCACGTGACGCGTCTGCCGCCTGCGCCGCCGGCCGCTCCTGCCCGCCCGCTGGCTGACGTGGAGGGCCTGAGGCGGCGGCGGCGGCGGCGGCCCGCGTCCAAGGCTCGCGGGCTGCGGGCCCCGGTGAGTGCACACCTGGCGCGCGGCGGGGCTTCCGGATGTGTCACCTTGTCGCGCTGCAGCCGAGATGCCCGGGGAGAGGGGCCCTCCACACCCCCTCGGTGGGTGTGTGGTGAGTGTGGGTGTGTGGTGAGTGTGGGTGTGTGCGCGTCGCCCCGCGTCGTTGGCCGTGGCGCCCGCGGTGTGTGTGCGCGGGTTGGGTGCCGGTGCAGAGCGGGAGTGTGTGGTCGCTTTTGTCGGCCTCAGTGGGTGTGTTTCTTTTATCTGGTGTCCTCCTTCTTTAAGTGTGGCCCCCTCCGGGCTTCTGTGCGAAGGTGGGAGAAGCCCCTTTGTGTGCGCATCCCCCGGCCGCACGCGCACTTTCGCCCCAGTCGGTGCGCGGGTGACACCTTCGCTAGGCGGAGGGTCCGCCGGCCTGAGCGCGGGTGGGCACGGCCCCGTGTGTCCCCTCCCGGCTCCTTTGTGTCCGCGCTGGTTCTAACCGGCGACGGCGTGGGCACCCCGGCGGTGTGGGAGCCCCCGTTTGTGTCACTGCCTCTCTCCGGGGGTGCGCGTCCTCCGCGCGCGTGGCCGCGCCTCCTGTAGTCGAGACCCCCGCCTGCAGCATCGTCCGCCCGGCGGTGCGTCCTCGCGTGTCCCCGCGCGCGCGTTGCGCCTGGGTCCTGTCGAGTGCGTGATCAGGTCGTCGTTCGCGAGTGTTCGTGAACGTTCTTGCACGCCCCTCCTCTGTCTTGTGTTCCCTACACCTGCGCCACCTGTTTTCGTGAGAATGGCTGCCGAGCGCGGGGAGGGGACGGGGAGGGAGAAATCAGTTCAGTGCTCCCCCGTCCCCTGCGCCTCTTCGGAGCATCCTTCCTCCCCCAGCGCTAATGGGAAGGGGGGACAGCAGCGGGTCTGGCCAGCTGCGCCGTAATATTTACGATGTCAGGTGTGGCCGGTCGAGCCAGCCTGTTTTGGGGACGGAATAAGGGGGCCAAGGGCCAAAAATGGAGTCAAGGCATAGGTGAATGTTGGTTGATACCAGTGTGGCGTACTATTTTCAGAGGCGCCCTACACGCCCAAAGATCTTCGATTGCAGACTCCTTCCAAAATAATATGTACACGACACCTGGGCAAATACCTTTTAGCCGATCCTGGGCGTTCTTGATAATACTTAACGGTTCATATAGTGGTTTATGGCGTTCACGTAAATTAACTCTCGATTCTGCCTGGCGTCACGGCGAGGGAAACAAGGTAGACATCTTACAGGTTTTACTCCCGCCTTGGGAGCAGTTTCCTCATAATTACAGCTCTAGCTAGGACATTCTGTATTGCAGGAAATTTGCCTTTTATCCTATTAGAGACCCATTACCCATTAGAGACCCAGCTACTCCTCTTGCTCAAAGGTTCGTGCTCTGCGCTCAAGGGCTGCGTTTCGGTGTCTGTTTCTCGTTGTTCATTTGCTCAATTTTCTTACTCTTGCCTAATTTTCCGTTTTTTCCTTTTTTTTTTAATTTCTGGAAGATTTCACACATAAAATACAGAGGGGTATCTAACCAATCCATGATTAAGATTTACAGATGTAATTATTTTGCCGAATTTACTTCAGATCCTCTTTTTAATTTCAAAGAACTAAAATTGCAAAATATGGAGGTGCTCTCAGTTCCTGCCCCTCCTTCCGTAGAGGTTGTCACCGTGTTTAGGTTTGTGTATATCATTCCCTTGCATATTTTATACTTTGATCACGGTGGATCCATAAACAATATATAGTGTTGTGTGTTTTAAACTTTAATGGTATTAAACAATGTGTCTTTTTGCAACTTGCGTTTTTCGATCAGCATCACATTTTCAGACTTACATATGAATAAATTGGATAATTGTGTTTGGTTCATTCATTTTAATTGCTGGTATAGAATTCCATTGTATGAATATACCATAATTTACTTATCCGTTTTCCTGTTGATGGGCTTTGTTTCTGGTTTTTGACTCTAAAAAAACAATCCTGCAATAAACATCTTTGTACTTGTCTGCTTTGTGCACACGTTTGGAAGTTTCTCGAGAAAATACACTTAGTAGTGGATTTGCTCTATACTAGGAAATATGCATCTTCAACGTAACTAAATATCACAGAAGCTCTCAAAGTGGTTGCACTAATTTTCACTCTCACTGGTATTGAGTGAGGACACCCATTTGTCACACCCTTGCTAACACTGTATGTTACCTGACTTTTACATTTTTGCCTTCTCTTTACTGACCAGCTTCCTTATAACTTTAGCTTGCAGCTAAATTTGCTTGCACCCACCTTGGCTTCTGCTCTAGCCCTGTGTCAGCCTATGGGTTCATCTCTCACAGTTAACTGGCTCAGTCTTTATCTCATTTGGTTCTCATAAGATTAATTCCAGTAAACATTTATTTTGTACCTAATGTATCAGTTCCAATGGTTGATGTAAGATAATTTCATGGTATGTTAGATGTACCTCTCTAATAGCAGGTGAGGTGATTTAATTAAATACTTTTTTGCATATGATGAACGGTTTTTTAAAAATCTTCTTTCCTCTAATGTATTATTTGATACCTTCAAAATATGTAACATATACGCAAGTTGTGAAGCAAAACAATAAAATGAACACCTATCAACCCACCACTCAATCCAAGAATCAAAATGATCAATCCAGGAATCAAAATGACCGATATTGAATGTGCTCACCTCCAGAGTGACTACTATCCTAAATTGTGTGTGTCATTCCTTGTTTTTTTAAAAATAATTTTATCAGATATGTATACATCCCTCAACAATGTATTGTGTGGTTTCTATTGTTTTTGAATTTAAAAAAAGGAATACTGGATACAGCTTTCTGGGTCTTGCTTATTTCACTCAATGTTATGTTTCTAAGAGTCACTGATATTCAGTATAGATATGTCATTAATTTTCACAGCTGTGTAATATTCTGTGGGTGAATATAACACAGTGTATGTGTTCTTCTGTTGATGAACATTTTGGTTGTTTCTAGGTTTTGCTGTTTTGAAGATTCTTGTACATATCTTCTGGTACATAGTTGCAAGAATTTCTCTACTTTTCACACTGGGGTATATGACCTCTGGGGAAGTAATAAAGATTTTCTGAGGAGTACTTGGGCACAGGTAATATTAATGAATCAATTTGTGATCATTAAATTACACGTGTACCCTTTCGTAAAACTGGTAATGCCGAAGCCTGTGACAGAAACTTCCTCCTGGTTCTACTTTCCCACCTTCCCTCTCACAGTAGCACTTCTGCCTTAAATTAGGAATGCATAGCACTCACCCATATGGAATCTTACCAGGGTAGTGTCCCAGTTGAAAAACTCTCCATGGAAAACAAAAGGCTAATCTAAAATACATGCAGCTATAGTGTTAGGAAACATCTCTTTTAATCCAGACACTTCCCATCTCCTCAAGAGCTGCATTTCCAATAAAATGTAACTTTTATGTTTAATTATCATTATATATACTAGTTATTTTTTGATCAACTTTATGCTGTAATAATTATGACATTTTAAACCAATGATATGTCAGTTTTAAAATGTCACTGTGATACTCTAGAAATTCATCCTTTGCAATTATTTAAACGTGGGGCTGAAATTTTTTTAGATGTCATTTTAAAGTGTGAAGAATATGTAATTTTTAAAGCGTGTGGTTTGTGAGTAAAAAAATATCGGAATACCACTGTGGTAAGCTATTTGCTAGAAGTGGAATTGCTGGGTTATGGGGTATGAATGTTCAACTTTACAAAATGATACCAAATTGTTTTCTGAAGTGGTTGTACCAGCTTATACTTTGGCAAGCAGTTTTGTCAATTTATATACTTTGATAGGCAGTGTGTAAGAATTATAGTTGATCTATATTCTCTGCAACACTTATTACTTTTAGACTTTTTAATATTTATCAGTCAGATGGGTATGAAATGGTGTGCATTGTGGTTTTAATTTGTATTTCTTGATTGTTAATGAGTTTGAGCATCTTTTCATTTGTCTGTGAACCATCTGTCCTTTTCGTTCACAAAAAAAATACCTCGTCATATCTTTTACCCATTTTTCTGTTGGGGTGTCTTTTAAAACAAACTGGTAACATCGATGCTTTATTGAGTATACATGTTGTAAATTTCTTCTAGTTCGTGGTCTGTCTTTTTGCACTTCATGGTGTATTTTGCTGAACAGAAGTTCTTAATTTTAATGTAAGCTAATTGGAAACTTTCCCTGCCCTGGGATTATAAAGTCATTCTCTTGTGTTTCTCTTTAGAAGTTTTTAAATGACACCTTTCACATTTAAGTTCATAATCCATCTGGTACTGATTTTTGTATATGGTGTGAGGTAATGATCCACATTCATTTTTTCCCCCCATGTGGCTACAATTGACCTCACTCCGTGTATTGAATTGGCCCTCTGTTCACTAGTGATCTGCTGAACAACAACAACAAAAAGTTTGGTAGCATTTATCTGTGAGATCATTTGGATCTAATTTTTTGTGTGTAGAGGATTGTAAATTGTTGATAATTAGCAATTGAATAGTAATAGGACTTCAGGTTTTCCATTTCCTTTAGTCAGTTTTGGTAAATTTTATTTATTTATTTATTTTTTGCGGTACGCGGGCCTCTCACTGCTGTGGCCTCTCCCGTTGCGGAGCACAGGCTCCGGACGCGCAGGCTCAGCGGCCATGGCTCACGGGCCCAGCCGCTCCGCGGCATGTGGAATCTTCCCGGACTGGGGCACGAACCCGCGTCCCCTTCATCGGCAG